TAAAATCTTTGAGCTAAAACTTGAATATAACAAATCGCTTCGGTTCACTTAAAAACCTCAAAATCAAATATTAATATATTCATTTACCATATATTTTCATGCAAAATCGAATGAATCTCCAGTTTTATAACATCATAAAATTATGGCATATGAACATTATCAATTCAGCCCGACTCTAATTAAGTTTACTATAAATATTTGCGTTAACTGAAAATTGCCAAGAGTAAGGTTTCTTTTTGTATTTTATCTTTTACACAATTCCCAATTTATCCACACTAGAAACTAGAATTTTAATTTAATTTGAAATTGAATTAACAACATTTAGCATTTAGTAAATTTCGCATCGTAAATGAGCCTCTGTGGCTCTGCAGCTATTTAATGGCCCAAAGCATATGGTCAAAATGCTTAAAAAGATTTGTCCAAATATTCCCAGCTCCAAATTGAACATAAAATGCATTAACTATAAAATCCACGCGTTGGCTGTAAATAATATACGAATGTATCCGAATAGCCCATGGCAGCTCACGATATTATTAATAATGCTCAATTAACACACTCACACACACACACACACACACACACGCACACACTAGATTGTGTTATAACTGTATATGTTGCATTTAAAGCAGCTGCTTTAGTCGCCCTGAATCGACTCTTCGGGCCATTTGCAGCTTCATTATAACGCATATAAATCAATTAGTCGACTTATTGCTTCCATACGCTCTGCCAAGGCTCAAATGAGGCATTGGCCTTAACTCTGCCTTCTCTCTCTCTCTCTCTCTCCCTCTCTCTCTCTCTCTCTCTTCCTCTCTCTCTCTTTCACTCTCTTGTATCACAAGCTGAGCGTTTAATTTACTTTTGGAATTTTTATTGGCCCGGTTAGTGTGCTTTGGGCCACGTTTGTGGAAGGCTAGCTTGGCTACCTCAGTTAAGCAGATTAATTACCACAATTTTGACATTTAGCCAGTGCTGGACAATGTTGCGGCATATTGGCCAGTGTGCCAAAACTTAATCATTAAATTGAACATCGACAGCAAGAGGAAGTTTCTGAAAATTAGAATGGATAAGTGTAAGAAGCGATCAATAACTGGATGAATAAATGGATACATTTATGGATAAATAGAAATATGTATAAATATAGACCTAGTCTTATAATATGTAGGCCAAGATATCAAAATATATCTTTATATCAAGATATCAAGATTGATGGATAGAGAGATGAAGAATATAGTTATATAATAGTTAGATATAGATTTAAAGATTATAATTATATGGATAGAGATGGATATGTCTATAAATATATAGATAATTGAACAGTTATATGAATATAGATAGATTGTAAATTATATGTATATAGTAAGATCAATAATTGATGGATGTGTGGATATCAAGGTTGATAGATAGATAAACAATATAGTTTTATAATACATAGTTAGGCAGTTTTTTTCTTTCTTGAAACAGGAAGCTCTAAAACTTCTTGATGGCTAATATTGACTATAAAATTAAATAAGAAAAGAAAAGATGTGAGTCTAGACTGGTGTGAGAAAAAAAAAAAAACAAAATAAAATAATGAAGAAGAAGAAGAATGGAACTATGCACTATAGTCGAATGCAACATTCGTTGAACAAAAAAAAAAAAAAAAAAAAAAAAAAATAAATAAATAAATTGAATAGGATAGATATTTCGAAATTTCTATGTATAGAAAAAAGGACAAATTAAATAAATGGGTAATATAATGGATAAATTGATAGATAAGTGGATGTCGCTAAATCTAGATACATTTATGTACAATTATATAGATAACTACATAGAGAAAAATATAGATAGACAAAAATATGGTTATATGCAAGGATCCACGTCGATCCATCCAATGCCACCCTTTACCTTTAACAATATATTAATAATTATATTGGATATTTTTAAAATTTAAATTTAAAACAAATGAGAAATCTTGAATAATTTAAAATCTTTGCCTCTGTCATGGTATCCCCATGGTATCGTTCGCTTCGCTCAACTCCTGCAAACAAATTTGTTTGCTTGGCTGAGATTTGTGAATGTAAATGTCGCATTCTTTCCATCTTTTCTGTGTGGATATTTCGGTTCTTTCGGTTCTTGTTGGGAAAACAATACAAATGAAAATTCGCAGCTAATTGGCGGCGGCCACAAGTCGTGCGCCTTGAAGAAAATTTTGTTGGCTCTGTTTGGAGATGGATTTTCAGTTTGTGTTGCTTGCGCATTCTG